TCTCCCCTCCTCCAGACGGACCCCCCCACCTCCCCCAGCCTGTCCCCATGGCAGAGGGGCTCCAGCCCTCGGAGCATCTCTGGGGCCTCCTCTGGACTTGCTCCAAAGCAGAGGTTTAAGTAGCTAAACCCTCCAACTTGCTTTACTAAAAGAGAGCTATTTTACAATGGTACGTGTGCTCGATTAATTTTTATATGTTAATATTTTAGAATATAGGTTTTTCTCCCAGCCTTTGGATGAGCGAAACCAAATGGATGTTACTGAATAGCTGAGGTCGGAAGGGATCTCTGGAGATTGTAGTATTGTGTACGATTACCCACTGTAGTGTTTCACGAGGGGCTGATTGGAGTTTATCCTTCTCAACCTGAGAGCTGGTACTGTGTAGTGAGAGAAAGCCTTTGTCCAGAAAAATCAGGAGCTGAATTTTCTGGAAATTGGCTTCTTACATGACATAAGGGAGGAGTTGTGGGCCTACCAGGATGTGTGCAGGCACATCCACATTGTAAAGTTGAACTGTGGACATTGAGGAGAAGGAAAAGAAGAAAAAAAAAAAAAAGAATTAAATATCCTGGGACGTCTTTTTGAGAAATCAGCTTTTCTGAGCAGGAAGTCGTCACCTCCCACTCAGACCAGTGGCCTTGGTTGCCCCGGTACCTTGTGCTTGTCCAGGAGGAATCAGTCCCTACGCCCACTTCTAGAGAATCAGTTGGTTTCCTCCAGCAGCAGCTGATGAAGACTGAGGAGCAATTTCCCTACCCATATGCTGTCTAACCTGTATTCCAATGCCTTGTCTCCCATAGGAAAAAGAACAAATCTCACCGGGACATCAAGCGGATGCTGTGCGAATGCCCGCCGCTCTCTAAAGAAGAGCGAGCGCAGGGTGAGGTCGCTTGTGGCGAAGACTGTCTCAACCGCCTGCTCATGATCGAGTGGTGAGTAGTACTTCAGCAGCAACAGTTGGGCCCTGTTCTCCGCGGGGTGACTTGGGATCTCTGAAAGGAATTCCAGCTTTCCTGAGCAGCAGACCTGAGCTGTCTGCACAGTCTTGCTCGTGAGGCCTGATCTTCAGAGCCTGCCCGTTGGCGCCTGACCTTAGATCTGCTGCGGGTTAGACCTTGGCAACCTCCTGTTAAAACCTGCTGCAGATGTCCGGAGTCTTCTGCTCCGTAGCCTTGACTCTAGTCCGGTGTAAACATGGTTGGAGGGAGTCGGAAAGGCAGATTTAGCTCTACTTGGGATCCTTATTTCCTCTCCTTTCTCCTTTCGCGTCTCTCTTCCCAGAGCCTTGCCAGGCTGTTGTCTCCTTTCTCCTGGAAGAGGCTGGGAGAAGAGGGAGCCACCGCTCTGTACAGCGTGCTCAGTGGGATTCACCCCTGGCACGACCGTTGTCGCCGGCTGGGGTGGAAGGAGAGGAGTTACCTGGCAGAGGCACTGCCCTTTGGTTTTTATTTCATAGCCCAGGCAGTACGTTTGGGGAAAGGGGATATTTTGGGGGAAGAATCCATAGGAACGTGGGGAGAAGAGGCCAATTCATCCCATTTTGATTGTACAACATCGAAGCACGGCGGCATTCGCCTTCCAACTGTTTTTTATCTTCCTTCCAGGAATAAATTGTCTGCATTTGCATGTTGTCACTCAGATGGCTGTGCTTTTTATAGCAAACCACATCTGAAGCTCTTACACTGAATTTGTTATGGGTACATGGTATCTCTTTCCCATCTCAGCCCTTTCTGCTACCGCCGTTGTCCTTCTGGGAATTGATGTGTTCCCTTTCCTTCTCTTAGTTCTTCCAGGTGCCCAAACGGTGACTACTGCTCCAACAGGCGCTTCCAGAAGAAACAGCACGCGGACGTTGAAGTGATCCTCACTGAAAAGAAAGGCTGGGGGCTGAGAGCTGCCAAAGATCTGCCATCGTAAGCCTTTGCGCTTTGATTGACGTCCTCCCTCGGGAAAGGGAAAGAAGCTGCTTGTGTTTTCTTAGTTTCAATGACTTTAAGAGGGTTGCTGACGTTCTTCCAGCCTTATATACTGTCCTTATCCTCCGTCAGGTGTGCCTCGCAGTATCGGCAGCTGCGTATCCTCTACTCCCACGTTAAATCTCCCACTCTGGTTTTGCTCTCGTCTCATGCGGGTTTCTCACCGTTTTGATGTGGCTTCATCTCGTGTTTAAGCTGTTTTCTGTCCTTCTCTGTCCCCTCTGGCTGGTGTCAGAGGAGCACACGCTCTGGCTGTCTCACCCTCTGCGAGACTTACCCTCTTCTTGAGTCCTCCTCCTCCCCTTTGGACTACGTGAAGATCCCATGGGGATCTTCCCTCCCTCGTTAGCCTGTTAGTTAACTGTTGTACTTCTGAGAGCTGGTTTGACATCAGCTGTGCCTACAGATCCGACTCCGTGTTTGACTCTGTTTCGCTCGAGCCAAATAGTGTTTGCCCGTGGTGCCTGGATCGGTGCCTTTATCGACGGTGTCGGGCGCAGAGGACCTGGTGGCACTTGAACGCAGGGGCTGCGCGGTGTTTTATCCCATCACTCCCCTCCTCAGTCAGCAGCAGGATAGATCCCGATATTTTTTTTGATCCTGTTTGGAAATGCTTGTGCTCAAAAAGTGAGTGTGACTGGGAAGAAGGAGCAGGTGTGGGATGGCAATGCCTTTGCATTAGGCAGGGTAAGTCAGGGAGTTGCCTTCTGCCATGCTGAGCTGGCGCTTCCTCATACTCCCAGGAGTTAAAAAAGCTTTAAGTGAAGCTGTGAGAGTAGTGAGGACATTCACAGAGCTGCTGGGGGCTGAGCGCAAGGTGCAGGAGGCAAAGATGGGGTGTGCTGGGAGAAGGGAGGAGCGGGACGGGCGGAGAACGGCCAAGCTCCTACGGCTGGCAAGACCCGGGTGGGTTCTTCTCCCCCTGGGTCTGCGCGCAGGCCGTGTGGGCGTCCTCGCACATCCACCAGTGAGCACGAATGGCTCGTGCTGCTCTGCAGATGAACAGCAGGCCTTGTAGGAGAAACTGCTGGAGTTTCCTGCTGTGGGCAAGCAGAGCTGTGTGCCCTGAGCTTCTCCGGGCTCTGATTTCCATCTCATAAAGCTGTGGGATGGGTGCGATGAGGCTGTTGGGTCTCAAGCTCGAGCGCGCCAGAGGCTGAGCGTCAAGACAATCTGCCTAGAACTGAACCGTGCAAAGATTTTCTCTAACTGTGGATAATCTAGGCAGTTTCTGTGGAAACTTGATTTTATTTATTATTGCTTCTGTTGAAGACACGGTTCTGAGGAATCCAGCAATGTTCCTGACATGGCAAAAGGGACTTGGGGTGCTGGGGGCGAGGAGCTGGCCATGAGCTGGCCGTGTGCGCTGGCAGCCCAGAAAGCCAACCCCATCCTGGGCTGGATCCAGAGCAGCGTGGCCAGGGGGGCGAGGGAGGGGATTCTGCCCCTCTGCCCCTCCGCTTTGCTTTCCATTGTCATAGACTGGAGGGTTTAAAGCCCAGCTACGATCAGAATTCAGTCTGTGAGGTTTGTGTCTGCACCCCGAATCCTGGGGTCAGTTTGGGCCCCGCACGGCAAGAGAGACCCTGAGGGGCTGGAGCATGAGCGGAGGAGGGGAAGGGGCTGGGGAAGGGT